TATTACCTGCGTGGGATTGCTTGACATGAATAGATGTGTGGAAGCTTGTTGTGTTATCACTTAGTTGTTATGCAATGGGAGAGACTGTACATGAAGACGACTCCTACTAAAAGTATGATTTATAAGCGTGCTTCAAAGCATGACTATACTCACTCGACATCGATATCCCGATGTGAGGAGTCCCGAATTCCCTTGATATCGATTACACGGTATGAGGTTTCCTTGACTATTACTATTATAGCATTGACTAGATGATACACTCTTGATCGGACGTGTTATGGGTCACAGTTATTTTATAGTTTTACAAAAGTCATTCTACGGTAACTCTGTGGTTAGTGCACAATATTTTATATAGAGTTGCATAATTAATATAACAAACATGGGGTTATAAAAGGGGAATTGGACGGAGAATATAGCATGTATATAAACGGACATATTGTTTTCCTGTTATCGTGATATTGTGAGTGTTATACACATGGGCCAGAGGGCCAATACTTGACTTGAAGGCGGCCCACAGACAGATTTACGGGGACCCGATTATATACATCAAAATATTCTTCCCCAATTCAAATAACATGTAAAATAAGAATAATATGCTTGCGTGTTTTATGATGGACTTTGTTAGTTTTATTGAGATGTGGACCAGTGAGTTGTGATAGGATGACTAGTAGTATGATTTCGTCACTTGGATGATTATGGATTCTTGTGAGATGTAGGCCAGTTGTTTTCTTTTCATATAGATCAAGGTTAATATTTAATTATCTATAATTCGAGACATATGGTATATACATGAGGGTTTCCTTGTTTGGATTATTTCGCTCGACGTATTACGTCTCTTGTTATAGATTTTTAAGTATTAATTCCTTCTAGTTGTAAGACCTTGTTTACTTGGATGGTTATTCTGATCGCTAGCTGCATGATCTTGTTACCCGTTTGATTTTTGGATTCTTCTAATTATTATATTTTAGTAGTGGATTATATTTTGATTTTGTTGGATTTCCAGTTGTACGTTTCTTGTCATTTCTATTATCGTATCATTTTTTCGCATTGGATTTTTGCTCGTTCTTTTCTTTGTGAGGTCTTGTCGTGTGCCATGCATGCTGACGTACACTTATTTTCTCTAGTGTACGTCAGACTTAGAGGAAGAACGGGTCTAGCCGGGAGATCGCCGGGAGCCATAAGATTCTCAACAGGAGTGCCTTTCAGATAGAGTTGAAGAATAGACCGAGCAGTTATCTCCTCTTAGTTGATGATCTTAGTTATTCTTGTAGTATTTTTCTGTTACCGTTGAACGATGTAGTTTATATTTCTTCAGTATTCATTTGTTCAGTTTTGTATAAGGGCATGTTTGACCCGAATATTATGTATTGGATGATATTCTCTTGTGATATGGATATTTGTTCTGAGTTTGTCTATTATATTCTTGCTAACTGTGATCGGGGACCTGTGCCTTTGTATTTATCTTTTAACGCTTAGCGTATTAGGTTGAGGAGAAATATTTATTTTATTTATTCTCCTTAATCTAATACGTCGCGGGCTTGTTCACGTTCCGATTCTCGAGTATTTTGGGAAGCGGGGCGTGACAATGTCTGTGGTAGAACCAACCACCTGGCTCCTAACTGTTTCTTTCGGAAGAAGGAACCGACTAAACCTGCTCCTAAAAGAAATGGATCCAACAAAGTTAATATGATTGAATAGAATCCAACTTCCTTCAGGATAGCCTCTTCATCCTATCTTGTGAATTTCCTTACTTCTTTCACTGACTAGTACTTAGATTCCGGAGCTAATATTCTTGTTTGCAATGATCGCTCTTTGTTTTCAACTTATCAATAATCATGTGGAGGAAGCATAAGCTTAGCAGATGACTCCACCAAACAAATAGTTGGAAGTGGATGTATAGAGCTCACCATGACCTCTAGGAAAGCTCTAAATCTGTAAGGCGTCCATCATGCTCCTTCTCTCCGTCACAATTTGATCAGTGAATCTCTTCTCCTTAGAGATGGCTTTAGGATTGTTAAGGAATCAAATAAATTTGTGACTACCAAAAATAATGTATTCATTGGAAAAGGTTTTATCTGTAATGGTCTTTTCAAACTCGATGTAAACAATTCTACTTCTAATAAAGTTTCTGAGTCTTCTGTTGCACAAATTGTTGAGTCTTATGATGTATGGCATGGACGACTAAGACATGTCAATTTCCAAACTTTGCAAAGAATGATCAAATTGAATCTTATTCCTAAATCCTCTTATGATCCATCATCTAAGTGTGAGATATGTGTTCAAGGGAAACCCACTAAAAAACCCTTCAAGTCTATAACTAGAGACTCCGAACCTCTCGAATTAATTCATAGTGATGTGTGTGACTCAAACCGAGTTCTCACCCGAGGGGGTAGGAGATATTTTGTGACATTTATAGATGATCACTCCAGATATTGTTACACCTATCTTCTCAGAACTAAAGATAAAGTCTTAGATATGTTTAAGGTGTATAAAGCTGAATCTGAGAACCAACTTGACAAAAAAATCAAGATTCTAAGATCTGATCATGGGGGAAGTATACCTCAAATGATATGACTGAATATTGCTAATATCACGGTATTATTCATGAGGTTACTGCTCCCTATACAACACAGTCTAACGGGGTAGCTGAACGAAAGAACAGAACCCTAATAGACATGGTAAACTGTATGTTACTCGGTTCAGGAGCACCTGAAAATCTCTGGGGTGAAGCTCTTCTTTCTGCTTGCTTCATTCTCAATAGGATTCCCCATAAACATTCTGAGACAACTCCTTATGAATATTGGAAGGGGAGATCTCCTAGGTTAAATTTCTTCTAGGTTTGGGGTTGCTTGGCTAAAGTAGCTATTCCCGAATCTAAGAAGAGGAAAATTGGTTCTAAGACAGTAGATGTTGCTTTTATTAGATATGTACTAGATATCAATGTTAACAGATTTCTGATCATTAACTCTGAAATCAGTGACATATACAACAACACAATCATTGAAGCTAGAGATGCAGTCTATTTTGAAAACATCTTTTCTTTTAAATCCAAAATCTCTAAAAATCCTATTTCATCTTTTCCTTGTGATTTACCATCTTCCAGTTCTTCTCAGCCTTTTAATATTGAACCTCGAAGGAGCAAAAGAGGTAAAATTCAAAAGAATTTTGGAAAAGACTTCTTCACCTTTCTTGTTGAAGGTGATCCAAGCTCATTCCAAGAAGCAATGGGTTCACCTGAATCTCCTTTCTGAAAAGATGCCATTAAAAATGAGATTAAATCTATTCCCTCATTTGGGAGGGTGGATTCAAAATTCGAATTTGAAGATCTGATCTTCTCAGAGTAATCTACAAGTTATACTGCAGACACAAAAACTCTCATAGTTCTTTATTTTACCCACTCAATGTCACTAGCCGACTGGATCGTCAGAGGAACTATGGGAGAACCAGTCCCCGTTCTCTTACGTGTTTCTACATGTGTAGGCTTTTCAGCAACCCAACTCAGATCAGATATTCGGGGAAGAAAGCAGACCCTCATCAACCTCACCCCTATCCAACCGCGGATATTATTGAATATGTGATCATTTAACACCAACAATTAGGATAACAATATAATATTCAAAAAAAGTTAATGGTAATATTGACTATGGAAAGAATTTTCTAAACTCGTACTTTTAAAGGGAGTATGATATGATATGATTATTTTTGACATTTGAGTGATAATTTTTTTTAAAAAAAATACACATTACTGCACGTCACGTCAACATTTAAAGAAATATTAAAATTAGTTTTTTTTTTGAAAGGTGATCTTATCTTAATTTTCTTCATCAAGTGAATGGCGCAAAAATTAATGTAAGTTAACCCAGGATGCTATGGGAATGGGCCTGACCAGGAAAGACAACATGGGCTAAGAGAGAAGTTGGGCTCAATAGTTATGGGCAGGAGATAATTGATTAATGTGTACTACAATTTTACCACGTGATTCGTGTGCTGCATCTCGTTCGTTACCGCGTAGGGCCCCGCCCATGAAACGGTGAGTTAATTGGGAGGTTAATTGCATATTTTCTTCATCAAGTCAAACATCGTTCTAAAAGTCACCACATTTACCTAAAATATGAAAGTATTGGGAGGTTAATTGCATATTTTGTTTCCTAAAGACAGTTGGCTTTCGCTGACCAATATATCATCTTCCCCTCCCCGAAGAAGAAAAAAAAAAATCTAGGGTTTCTCTCCTCTCTCTCTCTCTCTCAAATTCATTCCCCAAATTCTCTCTCTACGGTTTTAATCTCAATACTGCGCCCCCAAACCACGATCTCCGATTCTATTCCAGGTAATTATCTCGTTCTTTTTCTCCTCTTAAATTCGTTAAATTTGTAAACAATTTTGGGTTTTTTTTCGGAAGATTAGACCTTTTCCAGAAACTTGTGATTCTGGAGTTGAAATTATTGGCTTTTTTTGATGTCATGTCTTCAAGAAGCTGACGAATTGCTATAGAATTTTGAGCATCATATTGTTTGCCCAAATTTCTTGTTGAATTTTAAAAAGAAAATCAAATTATTCGGTACTGAATATAGAATTTTGTTTTTTCCCGAAATAATTCAGTATGGCCTATTGAAGTTTGTTTCACCTGTTTGGATCAATTTCAATTTTGAAAAAAAAAATTCTGGGTTTTTACGTGTAAACCTCAGCAATTATTCGTTTATAAGCTGACACCCGTTTTATTTTCCACAGTTTTAAGTTAAGATAGTTGGGTTTGCATATGCTAAATACAGCATCTTTTTCCCTTATAGATATTCACTATATTCCCTTGCAGAAATATTCTCTGGATCATTGAAGTGGCCTGGGAAGAAGCTTATACTCATAGAAACAGATATCTAATGGCCGAAAGGAAGATGGATGATTTGCCTCACAAGTGTAGATTCAGCTGGTATTGGAGCAGACAAGAGATTGAAAAATATTCTGCTTCGAGAAAAGATGGTGTTGATTTGAGGAAGGAGACGCAGATTCGAACAGTTTACTGTTCATTCCTTCAAGATATCGGCAAGAGGCTTGGAGTGTATGTACTTCTTCTTTGGCTTTAATATGAATATACGAGTCTCTAGCGAGCTATTAGAATGAAATAAATTTCAGCATTTTTTGTCTACTTTCCTATTTTGCGTACAAGGGTCATAGCGCAATTTTATCAAGTAGTGAATATAATAGAGTAATATAGGAGTGAGGTACATACGTTGGTAGTAGAGGAGAGCTTACAACTGAGAGCGAGTGCATTGAAAAAGATAGGCTACCAATTTCATGGTTTGTATGAATCCCAAAATTCAGCAAGTAGAGCTGAACTATGGATAATATTTGTTGTCAAATGCTTCCTATTCCAAATGCATTGATCTCTTTCTTTCCAAATGAACCGAAGGGCTGCGATGATTTCATGATCCCATCTTTTTGTTGATTGAGAAGAAAACATCACCAATCATGCCAAATATCTGCTGGAGCAGACAACTAGATCATTCAGAATTTGATGTTAATCAGTTGCCATATCCTATAAACTGATATAGATGTTTAGTCATAAATTCTGTTGCATCTTTACTTCTGTGTAGTTGATATCAAAGAGACTATTAAGTTTTAGAAGCATACTTCACCAACTATCAAATGATCTTTTAAGGACAATTCGTGTGTAAACCTTGCACCTGTGATCTGCATCATATCATGTTTCTGCCTAAGAAATTACAGCCTAGAAGTGACTATTATACTCCAAAAACAATGGAGAAAACTCCTGGTGATTCTGTTTATATTATTATGTAGTTGAGAGACTCATATTAGATGCAAGTTACGACACAGAGAATTGTTTGACATGTATAAACAGATACAGAGAAGTGTGAACTGATTACTTAAGGGAATTTCCAGATTTTTTTTCCTGTTTGATTTTGCATACTTACTTTAATCTTTTCAATGTTATGCAGTTTTTCTTGTTGCCAACAGCCTACGCCATTTCTTATTCCTAATAAGAATGTTGGATTATTCTCTTATCTTGCAGACCTCAGGTCACTATTGCAACAGCAATGATGTTATGCCATCGCTTTTATCTCCATCAGTCTCACAGAAGGAATGAATGGCAGGTAAGGAATCATATATGTTATGCACTTGTGTGTGTCACGTTAAACTTGTTACTGCATTGTCATGCAATTAACTGTCTGTTGTTCTAAAGAAACATATAAACTTACAAACTGATTCAGATTTCATCGAGTTATGTTCTCTGATGATATTTTGAGTACCGGGGCAAAATGCCCAGGAGATTTATTAATTAGAAAAAATAGATCCAAAATATATATACAGAGGAAGACAGAGAAGAAGTACAGTAGGAAATGAGAAAAGATTAGAATACGAAAAAGACTAATATCACTTTCTACATCAAGCTGTTGCGTTGCTTCGAGTCAAGCACCTATTTCAGTGTAAGGCGGTGTTGTCTTACTAAAGGAAGATGATCATCAATCAGGATATGAAGAGTGTTTGCATCTTTTCCAAAATACTTTTGCATTCCGTTCATTCCAAATATCAACGTAGTATGCAAGGACGATAAAATCCCTTTGACTAACGATGTCTGAAGGGATGTTCTGACACTAAAAGTCCCAAAGTACTGCAGGCAATGATGGAAGTTGATTTGAGAAATAACCGACAAGAATAAGAACTTAAATACTGTGAGTGTAAGAATTGTGGAGGAAGATGTAATCGTTGGTCTCTGGACTGTTTGTTACAAAGGACACTTGTAAGATTATGTAGCCAATTCCTTTTGGCAAGGTTATCGAGGTGAGCAATTAATCATATAGTGCTAGCTACATGAGACTTTTCACTTTGAGTTGAGGTGAAGAAGGGATGACCAGAAAATTGATGTTGAACGAGCATTAAAGAGATGTAACTGCGAAGGCATTCTTTGTAATAAGCTTCTATGTCCTAGCATTCAGTCCTTCTGTCCAATTGTGAAGATTTAAAATTTTTATGAGTTTTGCAAGTCTGGAAGCAAATAAGGCGGTGGCCATCACCTAAACTTGAGCCCCAGCAAGGTGGTTATCAATGTTCCCTTTGGGAAGACACTCTTTGTAATAGGCTTTCAAGACGTAACATTCGGTCCTTCTGCCCAATTATATGAGCTTAAAGTGTTTAGGAGTTGTTGCAAGCCTGGAAGCAAATAAGCTACTGGTCACCGCCTAAATTTGGATCCCAAACAAAGTGGTTTTGATTGCTTCCATTAAGAAGGGATTAGATCCCTGGAACTACATTATTCTCACCATTTTGATGGTTGTCCTCAACATCTCTATTTTCTGTATCATACTAATTCCATTAGAGCTCCATAAACAGGAATTCATTGGACGTCAAATAAAGCTCAGGTTATTTCTCTTTTATCTTACTGGTGTTCATCAACGTTCAAATACAGCATATTTTCTTCAAAAAAAAATTTGGTTCATTTTGGACAGCGAAAGAATTCCCCTTAACAATATATAGTGGAGGTAACCTCATTTTTGTACTTAAACTGGCGATCTGTTAACATTCATTCTTCTCCTTCAATCTTATTAAGGTTTCCTGACTTTTTTACTTGTTTTTCCAGATACCAAAAAATTGCCCAACTATATATACCAAGTGTTTGGGTTAGTTCAGGGTTAAATAATTTGTTTAAGAGATCACTTTGCGCGCAAGGATATGAGAATTACGGAGCCTACTCAATATCCTCTACTATATTGAACAAGGATCTGGGTTAAAGCCCCTTTGGCATCTTCCCTGGAGAGTACCTAATATGCAGAAATATTTTATTTATATTTCAGAAACTTACTGAACCTGACGGCTCCAACTGTTTCATAATCCACTTTTCAGTAAGTAGTCTATCTTCTATTGTTGAGGGTTTGAGTGTCCTACCTCATCCTAGAGGTGTTATCCATGGTGCAAATATATTATACATAATTGCAGATTTGCGAAGAATGGAATAAATACATATGCTTTTCTGTCTAATATCTCAGGTATTTCAAGAATTAATATAGCACACTGTTAAACTTGTTCTTGACTACTTTTGTAGCATTTTTTTTCTTTACCAGTTTTCTTTACTGAGAACTGATAGCTTTTTTTTGGCAGACGATTGCAACGGTTTCCATGTTCCTTGCTTCAAAGGTTGCAGACACTCCTTGCCATTTGCATAAGGTTGTTAAAGTGGCATACGAGACGATGTACCAACAGGAGCCTGCTTCTGCTCGGAGAATATATCAGAAGGTACTAAACCGTAAAAAACCTCTAATTATTCGGTGCTGTTATATGGTTGCTTCAGTTTTCATCTTACTTTTCCTTTTCTTTGAAATGCCAAGTAATGTTATATAGTCATTAGTCGCTTCAGTTTTCATCTTATTCTTCCTTTTCTTTGAATGACAGGATATCTTTGAGAAACAGAAGGAACTAATCCTAAATGGGGAAAGACTGCTTTTGTGTACCGTTCGGTATGATTTTGATATTCCGCTTCCTTATAAACCACTCCATGAAGCTTTTAGGAAGCTGAAGATCACCCAAAAGGATGTGATACAAACAGCGTGGAATTTTGTGAATAACTGGTAATCCAATTTTTGCTTACAGACAAAATTCTTAAATTCTCCTCAATTTCTTTATTTAGCCAAAAATTTCTAAAGTATAACTAGTTATTCTCCCATGGGAACAAACTTTTCTTGTATCCAGACTTTCTAATTAGACAATATTCTAGACAATTGAAGTTTTTAATTATGTTATCAATTGCATTTGTGATACTTGAGCTGAATTGTGCTAAGTTTTTTTAGAAATTTGCATGTCCACAGTAATTCAGGATTTCGTCAAATTGTTTTTGTGTTTTTTATATATGTACCCCTTAAATCATGCATATTTGCACAAATACCCCTTAAGTCTTAGTATTTGCATGATGACCCCCAAATCATCAACCTTGTAAAAATACCCCCCATCAACATATCATCAACTTTGTTGAATATGGTGAGTAAAATTTTGATTGCTGTGTTGATAGTTTTACATTGCAGTTACAAGTAGCCATAAAAGTTGATTTCTTGGTTTAGAGGTAATTTCCCCTAAAGTTGATGATTCGAGGGGTAGTTTAATACACATGATTTAAGGGGTATATATATAACAACTCATTATTCTTTTTTCTGCAAGATTAACTTATTTCCAGTTTTTAATATAACCAAATATTTATAGATTTCTATGCATCTGCTTTCTCCTGCTCAAGACTACATACATCACAAAGCGCTAATATCTTTTTGAAATTCCTTACAGGCTTCGAACCACACTCTGCCTGCAATATGAACCCAGTTACATTGCAGCCGGGTCTCTTTATCTTGCTGCTAAGCATCACAATATGAAACTTCCAACAGGGGATGGTTGCATTTGGTGGCAATTGTTGGAAATCGTGCCAAAACAGTTAGATGGTAAAATAACTTTTACCAGCTTTACTAGTTTACAAATGCATAGCCACTATCTTACATTTACTTAATTGGGTATTCTATTACAAATTGTAGAGATACTTCAACAAATGATGGAGTTATTGGGTTACAATAAAAGACCTTTGGTATCTCCTGCACCCGAGAAGCCAAAGGTAATCCAACCTCCAGTTGCGTCTGCGGAGAAGGAAGAGGAGCCATCAAGCAGCCCAGAGTCTTGTGTATTGAGCAGAGATGGGTCTTCAATTAGAAGCCCTAGTCATGAGTTTAGTGAGGAAGCTAGCTCAGCAAGACTCGTAGAATTGAAGAAAATTAGGGAAGCTCAATGCGAGCTGAGAAATTCTGAAAGCCCGGTTGGTGTTGTTGAGGATTGCAGAGAGGAGCATGCCCTTAATAAGATCAACGTGGACAGAATCAAAGCATTGATGAAGACGCGAAAGAGGAAAACAGAAGTTAATTACAAGTGTATACAAGCTTTGGACGATTCAAGTGAAGAATCTTGGATTCAAAGAGAGCTGGAAGCTGGAATAGAGTTGGAAACCAAGAGGCAAAGACAAGTTTGAGATTTTGTAGGGAGATTGAAGTTGTTACTGCAGATACCATGAAATTATTATGAATGGGTCTGAACTTTAGTGGATTATTTTAAGCGCTGTTGTCATTAAAAGTTATGGCTGCAGTAGCTAAAAATGAGCTCAGTATGTGTTCAGTTGTACAGAATGGCATTGTTCAAGCTCTATAAATCATTCAATTATAAATGTAATGGTTTCATCCCTTTCTCACAAAGTTCTGTGAGGATAGTTGTATGTACGCGTTCAATTTTTCTTTTGATGAATGTGTACACGTTCAATTGTACATTCTTTTATAGCTCAAGCTCTGTAAATCATTCAGTTATTATGGGTGAAATCATGTCATTAATTTATCACAGCTCTTTGAGGATACTCGATTGGATGCTTGGATGCTTTTATGTTGTTCAGACTTTGTAAACTAGTTTGTCATCCAAGATATAACTGCTACACAATGAGTAATTTTTGTTTTACGCTTGGGCTTTCATGTTAGTCTGTGACCGTGAGGGTAGCGCGTTTAGTTAGGCGCTTGGGCTTTCGTGTTAGTCTGCGACCGTGAGGGTAGCGCGTTTGGTTAGGCGCATGGTGTTCCTACTCGTTGTTGCAACACTCTTGAATTTGAGTGTTGTTTCCGCACCTCTATTTTTTTATTTTCTTTTGTTATAGCAACAACCTTTTGGTGTTGCGAATTCATCTAACCAAATAAGACTTTTAAAATTCAAATGTACTTCGAACAACATGATGTTCCAGCTACTCCTAACCAATCAAGTACGTGGATGTTGATCTGTATTGGTATTTTATAATGGTTGGCTAAAAGGTCAAATTGGTCTCTGTACTAGGGCATGATTCTCACTTGATTTTCATTTTTTTCCTCTTTAACTTAATCCTTATCTCATCTTTGACAAAAATTCCGTTAAATATAAATTGAAAGAACAGGGGCTATGTCAAACATACCTAAAATTCAGGGGGTTATATGAAATTAACCCAGAAAAACTAGAATTTTCTTACCAGCGTCTTCACTCTCCTCTCTCTCTACCTTCTTCGTCTCGAAGCGATCACGATTTTGACAATAATGAAACTCAGAGATCTCCGAACGAAATAGACGAGAATCCTCAAAACCCTAACCCTAATCTAAAATTTTGCCCAAACAAATTAGGGCAAAATGTCGCTGATTCCTATCGTGCGCGATTACATTGGGAAAATGCTTCAAGATATCTCGGGAATGAAAGTTCTCGTCCTCGATTCTCAAACTGTGAGATTTCTATTTCCCCTCTTTTTTCTTTCATATTCCAATTTCTTAATCTCTTAGATCTCATTATTTGAAAGTGATGGCCTTTAAGATCTCGTATTTGCTATTATCGAATTGTTCAATTCTCCCCTTCATGAATTAGGGTTTGTGCTGTTGATATTTATACTTATTTTTAAAATTCTTGGAAGATTCTTTGTAATTGCTCAAAATCCCATGAGAATTTAACAATATTTGAAATCTGGAAGAAGGTACGAAATTGGTATCATTCATTGAAAAGGATCAGCTACAACGATGACGAAAACAGCAAAAAGCCTTCATCTCAAAATTTTGCCCCATTAGCTGCAATCTTATTATAATTTTACTAAAACTACTTGTTTTTTTGTGTCTAATAAGTTTGTTCATAACGACTGAAAAGGATCAGCTATAAGAGTTTACAAAATTTTATGATGAGCTAAACAACACAGCAATTTTTGTTTTATGTTGGTGCAAATTCTTGCCCTTGGCTTCTGCATACAAGAGAGGGATTCACATGGATTTATGTGTTCTTCATAATTTCTTCTGTGCAGGTTAGCGTTGTTAGTGTTGTATATTCACAGTCAGAACTACTTCAGAAGGAGGTGTTTTTAGTAGAACTGGTTGATTCGAAGTCTAAAGAATCAATGGCACATCTCAAAGCAGTCTACTTCCTTCGTCCGACATTGGAGAATGTTCAACACTTGCGACGGCAATTGTCTACTCCTAGATTCGGAGAATATCACTTGTGTATGCTTCTCGTAGGCTGATTTTATAGTTATTTTAAATGCTGATCACTAAGTTGTTAGTGCCCTGATTGGTTTGGTATTTTTGTAGTTTTCTCCAACATTTTGAAGACTACCCAAATTCAAGTTCTTGCTGATTCAGACGAGCAAGAAGTTGTCCAACAAGTTCAAGTGAGTTGTATGGAGTAATCCTCTTTCTTTTTGTCCATCCCCCTCTTTTCTTTCTGCTTTTCTTTTGTTATAATGTTAGCTTTTTTTTGATGGGTTGTTGACTTTGTCTTCAATTTACATTTTTATTTCAATAGCAAGTGCAGATGCTCTAGAATATTTTGGTCAGTGAATGTTGTTAAGGATTTGTTTTTGGATTGACTGACCTATGTCATGCAAATTGGAGATTAATGGAATTGGACGCGTTTGAATTATGGTGTTTACTCACTTCTATTTATACAGGTTACACCCAGCTTATGCCCAACCATTTCCAGCACAAATTCATGTGCGAATTTCAACAATTAATCACGAAGTCCAAAAGACCATGTCGAAGGCCACCAACTTGCTTCCATAAGTACGAAGCTCTTACAAGTAAAGATCCAACTGCCAAAAGAATTAGAAAAACTTTCACAAACTGGGTTTACTGATAGCAATCTATGAAAGCAAACAAACACTAAAAATAGACAACTCTCAAGAGCTTTAGGTCAAAATATCCTTTGGACCTGAGCAGTATAAAAACAAGAAGCATTTAAGCATAACTGTGAATCAGCAAGCATTGAGATTCTTGCTAAGCAGTAATTATTTCTAATGCTTCAATACAGATAAAAATCTTATCTTGATTGATTCTTATAAAACTCCAAAACGTGATGGATGAATACAAAAGACACAAATGGAGCATATGTAAATACTTTTGCAAATGGTCTTTGTTTCCTGTCATAAAGTTGGCACAACTAGCATCCTCATGCGCTCAACACCTCATATTCCAGTTGCCATGTCCAAATACTACTCTTCTACTTGTGGCAAAGAAAAACACATTTCTAACATGTGGCATTGTGCAGCACAATCCCATGTGGCCATATATCACTATATAATTATGAGATGCATTACACATAAGCTATAACTTTGACAGTCATAATATAATACTTCTATTTTTTAGGCATCAGTCTTAAAAATGTGATTAATTGATTATGATCGTAAATGTGCTCGAGAAAGCTTGAGGATTCTCAAGCTCATTGAAAGCTCTTTTGATCAAGCTCATTAAAAGCTCATATGACCTAGTTTATTAATCTGATGAACCAAGCATGAAATTTTTTTATACTCATTAAAATAATTGAACTGACATGAAATAAGTTATGACTTGGCTCCTGCAACTTTCTTAGCATCCCCATTTACCAATAAAGACAGCAACAATTTGAAATGTGGCCTTGCTTCATTCATTTTTTCTTTGGTGTTTCCTACTCCGCAAAATAGCTCGTCTAGTCTTACATGGTTGCTGTACGTTACGTAATTGATTTTCATGTGTTTCCATTCTTCTAGTTCTAATATGGAGAAAGCCCAAAAAGATCTGGCTTTTTGTTCATCCGATCTATACTAAGTTATTGTTATCTATGGTAATTTCACTCTAATGCTTGTTGAACAAGAGTGTACTGAGCAGTGAGGATATTGGGGATCAGTCTGCCTTTTGTTTTGGGAATTGTTTCCTTCTAGACTAAAAATCTGAAACGTAAAATACGTCGTGCAAGGATTCTGCATTTGCCAAGTAACATACTTCATTCACTTTCTATTTTGTTGGTAGGTGTACATATATATCTTTTGTGCATGCTTTAATAGTATTCTGGCTTTTCTATCTTAAGTCATGAGCAGTTGAAGTGTTTTCGCAGTTCTAGTGTTTTTGTGTTTATAATATGTTTATTCACTTGCAGGATTTTTTTGCTGACTTTAGTGCCATCGATCCTTATCATTTCACCTTGAATTTGCAAATGAATCATGTATACATGCTTCCAGCTGTCGTAGACCCTACATCTGTACAAAGCTTTTGTGACCGAGTTGTTGATGGTATAGCTGCAGTATTCTTGGCACTTAAACGTCGACCTGTCATTCGTTATCAGAGGACCTCAGATATTGCAAAAAGGATCGCACAGGAGACTGCAGTGAGTAAAACTGTGTGATGAAATGTATATAGTTTGCGTAATTTTGTACTTTTCGTATTGTATTGCAACAACTTTTTCCTGCAATTTGTTATATTTTCTGTTTGTTTCCTCTGAATTTTGTGTATTTTGTATAGATTAAGGTATTTGGATTATTACATTGCTTTCTGATTCCACTTTGCTTTCATTTTGCAGAAGCTTATGTACGAGCAAGAAAGTGGTCTTTTTGATTTTAGGCGAACTGAAGTCTCTCCCTTACTTCTAGTAGTTGACAGGAGAGATGATCCAGTTACTCCTTTGTTGAATCAGTGGACATATCAGGTACTGTTAGTGATAAGCTTGTTTATAAAATTCATCTACATGGATACTTATTGATGGTTTTGTACTTCCAGCATAAACTTGAGTAAGTCAATTTGTTAACGTTTGTGCCTATAGGCTATGGTTAATGAACTTATTGGCATTGAAGACAACAAAGTAGACCTGCGGAACATTGGAAAAGTCCCTAGTGATCAGAAGGTTGCCTGGATTTGACATTTTGCCTCTTTTCTTGTCCTTTATTGCCTTTGAACTGTTGCAAATATCATAGATACTGTCTTGTTTCTGGTTGCAGGAGGTGGTACTTTCATCAGAGCAAGATGCTTTCTTTAAAGCTAACATGTATGAAAATTTTGGGGATCTTGGGATGAACATTAAGAGAATGGTGGACGAGTTTCAACAGGTTTCAAAGAGTAACCAGAATATTCAAACAATAGGTATATATAGGCCTTTTGTTTTTCCTATGTAAGAAAATATCACATCTCTATCAATTTATGAATTTGTGATACACTGTAACTGAGGCTGAAGCATTTATACCTTGAAGAGGATATGGCCAGATTTGTTGACAACTACCCTGAATATCGGAAGATGCATGGGAATGTCTCGAAGCATGTCACAATGGTAACAGAAATGAGCAGAATTGTTGAAGAGCGGAAACTTATGTTAGTTTCACAAACTGAGCAAGAGCTTGCTTGTAATGGTGGCCAGGTGGCAGCTTTTGAGGTATTTTACTTTACTACCTTAGGATACAAATTTAAATTCTGATAGCTTGTATTTTCTCCTTAAATGTGGAATGCCCCTCCATACTATTAGCCAGTTTGTTATCTTGTTTGTGTTTGTATATGACAGCATCATTTTCATAATATGTCGTGCTTATTATTTCTTTAATTTTGGAACGTATCATGCAATGTGGTTTTTGCGTATTTGTTATAGAAGTAGAAATTTGGGAATTTGAAATTATACCTACATTATGTAGAATGTAACTGGTGGGTGGTTATGCTTGGTATTTACAAATTATAGTGTGAGCAACAAAAATGATGTCCTGGTTTTTCACCCTTTTGCAGGCTGTCACCAATCTCTTGAATGATGAAAGTGTCTCTGATCTTGACCGTTTGCGATTAGTGATGCTCTATGCTTTGCGCTATGAGAAGGAGAGTCCTGTGCAACTCATGCAGCTATTCAACAAGTTAGCTTCGCGGTCTACAAAGTATAAGTCTGGTGTAATGTAACTAAACCAATTTCCCATTTCTATTCTAATCAAGACATGTTCCTTTGCCATATAAATGCTATTGATATTTGCCTGTGGCGTCAGCTGCTATTCATTTCCATCTAACTAGCTCCTCCTTGAAAGAGGAGGGGGATATGTCCCTATATCCAACTTTTAAAATTTTTCTTGTGTTGGACGGACTTGGATGCTTTTCATCAATTTATCCAGTCAATATTACATTTTCAAACAATGAAGTGATTTTTTAAGTAACTAGAAGTTGAGGTTACCCTGGTTCCAACTTCCAAGGATCCAGGAAATTGTGATATCTTATATTTCTAATGCCATTTGAAACCTAATGGTTCATGTTTCATTAGAAAGACCCGAGCACTTTATTATCAACAAGTAATATGAGAATATAATCCTTGATATTTTTTTAATAGAGCTAATATGTTGGCTTTACATGAATGAACAGCTTATCCAATTCCTCCTAAAACAAGCGGGGGTTGACAAAAGAACGGGAGATCTGTATGGAAATCGTGATCTCTTGAACATTGCTCGTAATATGGCGCGGGGACTTAAGGTTCGTCATCATCAAGTCATTTCTTTCTTTTTCAAGAAGTCACAGGTATTTTCTTGACAATGATCCTCATGTTTTAGTTCTGGCCTTGTCACAGGGTGTAGAGAATGTGTACACCCAACACCAGCCACTTCTTTTTCAAACCATGGAAAGCATCAATAAAGGGCGTCTCAGAGATGTCGATTATCCATTTGTTGGAAATCACTTTCAGCAGGGAAGGTAAGTCGAGGAAGTCAATGAACAAAATCAATAAACTTAAAGGCGGAGATGATAATTCAGTTCAACTTGTACATTACTAATTGACTACAATCCTGGCTTCCTTTGTATATCCACCTATGCAATGTAGGAGGTCAGAGGTTGCTCCTATTATGGATAAAATGTCAGAGAAGTGATAAAGATGGTTTGGTCATGTAGAGTGGAGGCCACTGAATGGACCAGTTATGAGCAAAAAATTTATAGCTAATTTTTGGTTGTGGGGGTGGGGTGTATGGGTGTAAAGACGAGTAAAAATATAGACTTCAAAGAACTTGGCTGTAAGTAGTTAAGGAGGGGCTAGTTAATTTTAAAGGATAGGATTCATGTTGACGACGACCACAACCATTTGGGTCTCTATAAGTTGCTTTTGAGACTACTATAAAGTTAGAACCTTCTGTGATGGTCATGAGAAGAAAGGAGAATTAGAAGAATCAGGTCTTAGTCCCCAATCAGCTTCTCATATCAAGCATTTCACATACTACGGTTCCATGGATGAGAAAGAAGTATATGCAGAATAAGAGGAAGTGAAAGAAAATGAGTCACTCAGATGGTCATATTTACTAGGTTTAGGTAAGATATATGTAAAAATAGGGTGTCATAGATATGACTAAGATTATTTATTTTCATTTGCAAACATAACACGAGGTTAATGCTAATGTTGATACAGCTTCTGTAATTAGCGCCTACTGCACAAAACGCAAAAGGAAAACAGACCTGTGTGCAGACAACCCTTATATTCTTGTTAAAGAATATTTAGCTTTGCCTTGATGCAGGCCAGTGGAGGTCGTGATCTTCATAGTTGGAGGCACGACTTATGAGGAGGCACGAATTGTTGCTTTGCATAATGCTACCAACTCAGGGATACGTTTCATACTTGGAGGTTCTGCAGTTCTCAATTCTAAGAGGTAATGTTTTCTTTGGTCTTCATGGTTGTAGTTACTTTTGACCGTCTCCAAATCTTACTAGTTCTTTCTTTTCCTACTTAGCATACCAACCTTAGTGTAAACTTAATACATGTACAGCACATTTCCTTGTTGATTTGAAGTGGTGCTGCTCTTACTGTCTTTGTACATTGCAGATTTACATCATTTTATATATTAAGCTGCCACCATTTTATCAGAACAATTGTGTTCTGTAGGAACAAGCAGTGTTAAGGGAGGTATCATCTCTCATTTAGAGATTCCTCTCCCCAAGGCCTTAAGATATCTCATGCATTTCTTTTCCCATTTCATATTTTCGATAGCTACTAGTCTGTAGATTAGAAGTCTGTCCAATTTCGAAGACTATTGCTAGAAATTGCAAGGCATGATGTTCAAAATAATGAATCGTGAATGGGTACTCAGCTTTCCATGGTCCTAACCATAAATGAGATAGTCTGCTAACAGAAGAGACTGAGAAGGAATAATGATGATACATTTAGGAGATTGAATTAACATTATGTCTTGTAGCCGGACAGCTAGACGTGAAGACATTCTTGAAATTAAGTCATTTTGTGAACTTGATTGTTTGTAAGTTGCATGTCAGGCCCAGAACTTTGTTATCCCTGGACGAATGATTAACTTTTTCGAGAAAAATGCAGGTTCATCAAAGATTTGGAAGAGGCACAGAGGGCAGCCCGTTTGAGCAGCACAGTTTGAATCTGGACACAGCCTCAGGCAGAAGAACATTGAAGAAATTCTCTGCCAGCAAAAATTCTCACGGACACTGCGACAAACAAATAGAAGGGAGCTTTTCTTGATGTAACAATTGTTATGGACTTCATTACGAAAATATATACATGTGAAAATGAGCATTGAATTTCTGGGGTTATTTTCTTGATAGGTTCTGGAATATCATCTGTACCTAACATCACTTCAAGGATAATGGGGTTGTTTGATACATAAAATTTTGTAATTGCAAGTGTAATGTGTAGAAGATGGAGTTGCAGTTGATTGTTTCGCTGTTACAGTCTCCTCACAATTGCAGTTGCAGATTATACAAGTCATTCTTTGAAAAATGATTTGCAGATAATTAATAACAAATCATTTTATTGCAATTATAATCGTAAAAAATCCCTCTTTTAGTGACATAAAGAAAAACGTAAACAAAATTATAACTCGAAATGCAGTCGTAATATTTCTCCAAATTAAACAACCGCGAAACGGGCAGAAGATGCTTCCAAGCTTGTAGTTGTAAATTTAAGGAAAAAAAAGGATCTTGATGTTTCATTATACAAGCCAAACCGATAGCCGTACGAATTATAATCAAGATTTTGAGAGGCATGATATCGCCCTCCATCGCACGTAAAGCATCAGAAACTTGCACCTCAATTTGTCAAATCCAATAGGCGTCAAGCCTACAATGAAGCACGCACCACTTTATCAAGATAATTTTTAATTTTTTTTTAACCTCAGGTAAACAAATGCTTAAATCTGAAGAAATCTCCACATACAAGTTGTCATTGTTTCTTCTAAAATGTACAGAACCTGTCAAAAGTTTCAGTACTTCACATTACATTTACCTCTGAGAAAGTCTGGTATCAAATAGTGAAGCACTTCCTCAATCAGATTCATAGTCATCAATATAGTGAAATTTTGTGCATATAATCACTCGACCAGAAGAAATTTTAACTGCCAGCAAAATAGTAACGAGCACATCCCAGATAAAAACTCCAACTGAGGAATGGTAAGGCTGAAATAGCATTCAGCTTTATTTATGTAATAAAAAGATCTACAGAGATCAGACATTTAAAACCCGCTCGCGAAAGAATCATGATTTACATATCATAGTTTTTCTTTCGTCCTTTATTTGATCCAGAACCTTGGATCTCCTTTTGCAAATACAAGGAGTATAGTTATATATAATTGTCTTTTTTTTCTTTTTTTTATCCAGAACCTCGCATCTCTTTTCGCAAACACAAGGAGTATAGTTATATTTTTTTTTTTCCTTTTTTTGATCCAGAACCTTGGATCTCTTTTTCCAAACACACGCATAAAGGAGTAACTAAGTATATGTATTCCTCAAATTTACAGCTCTTTCACTGAAACAGGCTGCAAGCTCCCATGGCCTTGTACATCTACCTCCAGAGTGGGATCTGCAATTGAAAAGGTTAAGATGTAACCAGGGGGGAAAAGGAATGTAGCACCACAATTAAGTGCTTAATATATAAATTAATCCTTTCCAACCAATATGCAATATCTTTTCTAGCATACGTTTCTACGAGTTTTTTCATATCGATCCTCCAAATTATCAACATTTTGAACTCGGTCCCTCCAAGGAAACAGAATTTAAAATAACCTTACAATTTTTTTTAAGTTACACAAAACAGGTTCATGCAGTCGAATATGCTAAGTAAGAACTTCTAATGGCTGTTAAATTTTTGTATCACGTTCTGTTTTTCAAAAAATACTAATAGAGACCTACTTGGTATTACTTAAACAATCTGGGGAATTCCTTTCATTTTTTGGGAGGGATGTCGTTTAAAGTATCGATAATTTGGAGGATCATTATCAGAAAAAACCCTTTCCACATACAGCTAGAATCCTTGGGGGGAAAAAAGACCTCAATTTGTATATTCTAGCATATTTTTACAAAGCTTCGCAAGGTCAATGTCCTTGTAAATCACCATCCATCTAATTGGTTGTATTTGGCATGTAAATTTCTATTAATTTCAAGAAGATCCAAAAAGAACTCTTTAAAGCTAGGTACACTTGCCTTCAACCAGTGGGAAGACACAAAGCAGCTAAGCGGAGGATTTGGAGGACCAAAAGAATCTCTGTTAAAAAAAAGAATATAGGAACTCTCACTTTCTGTTAGTTAATTATGATTAAGCATGAAGACTTTTACATAACTACAGAAAGAAAAAAGGAAAAAGATTGAGCTAAAAAACTAGTTTACCTTATTCACTAATCTAACCTCATTGTAACATTATTAGATTTAGAAAAGAAAATCCATTAGGTATCTGTCAATATCTCTTTTGAGTCAATTATGTGCCATTGAAATTCACCTTTACAGGAAATGAGATGGACAGTTATCAATATGCGATACCCACTCAATTTTCTAGCTTGAAAATGACTTACCCTCTTCTTTTTCTTCTTCTTCTCAACATAAGCAAGGAGTTCCTCCTGTCGAGTTAGTGCATCCTGAAGAGCCTATAAAAAGCAGAAATGTTGAAAAGCTTTAATAACATAAGCCAACAGTTCAGACCAATTCAATACAAGATCCTCCAAATGTGAACTGGAATGGGCTATCCCGAAATAAAAATACATTAAAAAAATTAGGAAAACTAATGCCTATAACTATTTAGAAATTATTCTAAATGTGAAGAGGTGACAAGATCATCAAAACCGGCATTCAACAATAATAATTTTAAAGAATGAAGAGCTGAGAAAAGATCATATTATTATTATAGTTATTGTCAACTTTTGGTTAACTACACGTTTGTAATATTATCTGTTTACTTTTATTTTTAATTTATGCAACAGATAAATATCCATGATTTTCTCCTCGCATAATTGTAAGGCTAATGCTCAGCATATGATACGGGTGTATCTTCTCTTCGGAAAAACGATCCTCATGGGAGCTTGAGGATAGGTGATTCTCATGATATCTTGAGAATAGAGGCGTGGTTGGAGCCATAGAGGACGGCGAAAGAAGTCAGAAGGAGTGAAACGCAGAAGATCAGGAAAACAGGGTCGGGTTCTGTCCGGTTGACCGCGGCATCCATGCCGGTCGACCGGAAAACCTGCACAATGCAGGGTTTGCAGAAGCACTCTGGCCGGTCGACCGGACCAGGATTGGCGGTCGACCGGATCGCGATATTTGGCTTTTCCTGGTTCGTTTTGGATTCTGTTTTGACAGGGATTCCTGATCCTTTTGGACTTGTTTATTTACAAGATTACCACCACGTTGTAAACCCTATAAATAGGGATTGTTTAGGGTTCTAAACAGGGAGGTTAGAGGCCAAGATGTAGTCCTAAAGGGTTTTAGGTCTAAGTGAAATCCTGATCAAAAGGATTAGGGTTTAGATTGTAATCAGATCTCAGAGAGAAGTGATCAAGAGAAATTCTAATAATTGTATTAGGGTTTTAGAGAGAGAGTTGAGAGGTTGTTCTTAATTCTAGCGAGATTGTGAGGGAGAGATTGTAATCTTTGTTCTTCATAATCTAGAGAAGGTATTTTCCTTCGCCTTATACTGAATTGTTCTTGTGTTTGGTCATCCTCTTCTCAACCCACCTTTTGGTAATTCCGCGACCAAAGGGTGCTCGCACGGCGACTCGTATCAGCATACCTTTTTTTTTCCAGACTAACAGAATTTCTCCTGAAGGCCTCAATAATATCTTCACCAGTACCCTACAGATCATAAATCTAAAATGCAGTTGTGTGTTTCTAAAATCTTTTTCTGTAATCTTTTCTAAAATCTAGATCATCTCATGAATGACGAGTTCTGTTAAATATGATCATTGCATATCCTTGATGCAAACACTTCAAATATTAGAAAGGGAACTCATGAATGTTTAACTTCATCATCAAATATCTTATTACAACAGTTATTTTCAAGAAAAATAGAATGTCTTTGCTGCCAATGGATTTACTGACTTTCAGCCAAATAAAAGAAAAGCCTGTCAAACTAGATTTATCTCTATGCAAGATGCTGCCTGTTTCATAAACAATGGCGTAAATCTGTAATATGTAGAAGAATATTAAGCAAGGGTTAACTGCACATAGACCCCTGTAGTATTGTTATATTACGCTTGAAAACCATGCAGTTCAATTGTTGCAGATAGGGCCCCTAGGTTTTTTTTCACTCTTTTACCCTTGGTAAAATTTTAACATATATTGGCCCTGGGTGAAATTATTGAGTCTATATGAGGGTAAAAGACAAAAAAAAAACTTAATCTCTCGCGTCTATCTGCATCAACGAAACTACAAGGGCCAAGGGGTGGATGTGCAATTAATCCATTAAGTGATTGTGATAACAAATATTACCTTCTTGGTTGATTGAAGCTCAGACTCCAATTTATCCACACGACTCGTTGCAGATTTGAGCATTTGCTCCTTCTCAAAGGAGAACTCAGGTGGCTTCGAGCTCATCACTCTCAGACACTCCTCCAACTCCCCGAGCCTCTTAGCAACCACAGAGAATTCAGCCATGGAAACAGTCGGAACAGGAGCAGGTGGCTGCTGTTGGTGCTGCTTTGACATGGCCTCTGCTTGCATCGTGTAATCCATCGCCGCACTAACGATCTTCTTGGGCACTGCACGTGTCACTTTGATCACAGTCACAAAGCCCATGACAACGGCCATTACTCCAGAAATCAGATTGTTACTAAGAAGTCCTTCTTGAGTTTGAGTTTTGCAAGCATCAGGGAAAGTACACAAACCTGGAGCCTCTGGTGCTAGAATCACAAACAGTGTTAAAATTGTAACAATGAAGTATATGCTTATTTATCTGCATACACACCGATAAGTATGTACATAATATTTCGCACGTCCAACATTACAAAGCACTTAAATTTAGGCGTAAATTTCACAAAACCCCCTAATAACTTTGGGCATTTTCACTTTAACCCCCAACAAGTTTTCAGAAACCCCCCAAAGCTAACACTGTTAGTTCTAACGTGTCACGTGCAAATCACTTTCTGTTAAAAGACCAAAATACTCCTACTTTAAGAAAAAAGCCTTCATGTTCTCTTACATATTTTTCAACCTAAAATCACTTTCCCTCTTCTTTCTACTTCTCTCTGCTCGCTTTCGCTCCTAGGTTGGAGCTCCCAATCCCCATAATTTGTTTTGATGATCTTATCCTTCAAAACTCTAAATTGATGTTATTTTATATAACTTGGTCATGGGGGTTAGACGGAACAAATTTCAAATGTTATGGTGGTTTTCCGGATTCCTAAACTTATTGGGGCTTAGTGAAAAATGCCCAAAGTTATTGGGTATTTGCAAAATTTACCCTAATTTTAAGCTTTAGTGGAGTATGAAGAAATATGGACCTTTCGAGATGTCGGGTTTTTCATTGGATGCTTCCTTGTTCCAGCCTGCATCCACGGTTTTATCAACCATCGGGATATCATCATCAGGAGTAGGGAAATCTACTTGATTGGATTGGGCCTGAAAGTTTATATAAGGAACAATCGGAAAGATATACAGTTGTAATGTATTCGACTTCTCACTTTGTAACCAGCATAATTAATGTATGATCATCATTATAGAAGAGACAATCTTCTTCTTACATAATCACTACATACGCCCCAAATCATCAATACTTATTCAATTAACCCCCAGATCTTGATATTTATTAAAATGCCCACCAAATCTTAAACTTTGGATTTTTCTACCATCAATCTTAAACTCCATGATATCTACTGCAGGGATTTTGATAGGGTAAGTTTAATTAGGGAAGGATTAGAATTGTAACTCTGCCCTTCAACCATTTGCTTAACTTCATTTGGTTTGGGGGTAGAAAAATCCAAAGTTCAAGATTTGGGGGGTATTTAGCCAAAAGACCCTGTGAGATAATATCAGAGGTTTCTTTTCTCCTCTTCTTTCTTCTTCTTCTTCTTTTTTTAAGTAAGATTTTTGTGTGGTGGTTTTTTGTTTTGTTATGTTATTTTTTGTGTGTTTGTGGGG